GGGCAAAATTCTGTTAAAAAACACAGATGCGTGAGATCCTGGAGAGGCCACGGGGGGTGGGGGGCCCTCCCCCAGTCCTGGATGTGGAGTTCTGTACACAATGCTAACCATGCCCAGAGCTGGAATTTGCTGTAAGAGATCCCATGTTTACTAAAAGGAGAATGGGAGCAAACCTGTCAGCATGTATAAATCAAACCACTTTTCTCAGCAGCTTTCACTGTCACTTTAGGCTCTATTTCCCCACCAGGAAGGCAGAGTCCCCCAAACTGACCAGAGGTAACAAACCAGAGGAGGTTTGTTACCTCCTCTGATTATGAAGATGGCTCCAACTATAAAACGCTTTTGAAAAACACGTAACTAAAATGCTAAGTTCCTAAGATATGCTGCTGAACAAACAAGTTGACAGCAGTCACTAGAAGCCTTTGGAAGCCTCGATGCAACAATCCCAACAGGCATCATTAGAGCCTCCAAACACGCCTGAATACATGGATTCCCCACCTTTTTAAAGAACGTATCACCCCGAGCTGCTCACCCACTCCAGCCTGTAGATCCCACTTACACTCTCTCTGACTGATCTGTCCCAGCCCCTCTCTAAGAATTCGTCCATCAATGGATACCAGCTCTTTTACCTTACTGCTATAGAGTTTCCTTCCTTGGTACCTGACTTCTCATCTCCTTCTCCCATCCCAGTGTCTTCTATCCAATACCACCAGGGTCGTTGTCTTACAATGTTACCTAATCAACTTTAATGTCACTCATTGTTTTTAAAAACATTTTCCTTGCTCTCTGCCATCAAAAGGAAAATGCCAGCTGGACTTATTTTTTTCCTAGAATAGTAAGTCTTCTCCACACACCCAATTCCCATCCTCACTCCAACTTTTCCCAAAATTATGCCACCTCCTTATATGTGCTGTTCAGGTTATCACATTCTGCTCCACCCCCCTTATAAACTTATTCATCCTTCAAGAGAAAGAGCTCAGGTGTCACCTCTTCAAGTAAGCCTTCCCTGATTACCTCCCACAAAATTATTAGTTTCCTCTTCTACTCATGTATTAACACTTAGCAGAAAGAGCTATAATTACTTGTTTACATGTCTGTCTTCTTGGCAACGACCAGGTCACTCATATTCTAACTTGTAGGCTAGTATCTGAGTAATTGCTTAATAAATATTTAATGGAGGAATAAATGTCCTGCGTTTGTAATACTTTGACCTTTTTATAAGTGAGCTTAAAATCATGTAGAACATATATTATTTTAACTAGGATGTTTATAAACAGAATATGTGAATGATGTTACTAATCTAGTGCCTTTTACTCCTTAAACTTTGTGTTCATAAATGTACTCATTTTTACAGTTTATTTAAAATTTCAAAAATGTTAAAAATTGCAGAAATGCATAATGAAGAAAAGCAGAAATTTCTTATAAGTTACTCCCCAGGGGGAAAACTAAACAGCTTCAGTTTTGTGAAGGTTCTGGATTGTTCTTGTGCACATTCCACAACATATGATTACCCACTGATGTCATGTTCTACCTGCACCACACATAGTATGGGCATCTTTTCTTCACACAACACGTAGGGCTCTCATTCTTTTTAATGGCTTCATAGATCTTACTATATGGATAAATTAGAATTCATTTATCCCCTTTCCCGGTGTCAGATATCAGAGTTGTCTCTAATTTTTGTTGCTGTTAAGTAGTGCAAGGCACCACCCCGAGGGTTCCGATGGCAACGGCACCCCTACACGCCCGGCTCCATTACCACACCACACAATGGTGACATTATTACACCTAACTCTACAGAATGGCTCTCCGAGCTAGGCACTGTTCTTAGCCTATCATACAGATGAAACACAGGGTCACTCAGAGAGGTCACTTGCCCGAGGCAGAGGAAAGATTTGAACCCAGGCAGTTTCACTTCAGAGCTTCTGATTTTAAACCACAGAATACGCTGCTTCTCAAAGATATAAATACAAATCCCCAAAACTTATCCAAGTGTTTCCATACATTAAATTCAAAGTGGAATAGTGACTTTATCCCTTTATACACAAGTTTAAATCATTAAACATTTACCATATGTCATATATCAAGTATTTATCATATATAAACCATTAAGTGTTCAGTATTTCACTAAAAACAGTAGACTTCAAGCCCTGGCCCCGGCGGCTCAGTTGGTTGGAGCATCGTCGCATACACCAAAAGGCTGCAGGTTTGACCCCTCCCTGGCTGGGCTGTGGACAGAAGGCAACCGATCCATGTTTCTCTCTAACATCAATGTTTCTCTCCCACCTTTCCTCTCTCCAAAATCAATAAACATATCCTTGTGTGAGGATTAAAAAAAATTAAATTCAGGAAACTTTTCACCAATACTCTTCTTATAAACCATAAACAATAAAAAACAAACCTCTAAATGTACTAATTTTAAGAAATGAAGATATAAAAGGACAGACAAGCCCAGTACAAATAAAGTGTAGCAATCGCTGCCTATTTTCTCACCATTATTTCTAATTAAAGAATTAAATAATGTACATACAAAATAGAGTAATTGCCATACGATTAATTTTATAAGCACTCAAATTTATAGCAAAATATATATGCTAAACAGAAAATAATGCTTTATATATTCGTTTATGTCTTTCATTTAGCAATTGGGTAAAAATATGAGGTGGGCAAAAGTAGGTTTAGAGTTGTAATACAAATAAATAATACAATAATCAATAAATTATACAAGAATAAACTCTGTTTTGCATACTCATGACTGTAAACCAACTTTTTCCCACCCCTGTATAATGTTATGTGGAAAGAAATGGTCCAAATCTGAATGTTTCCTTTATAAAAAAGGAAATGTATGGATCAAAGGCAAAGGAGTAGAAGAGGAAAGATTATTTTTTAACAGCTTCGAACCACAACTAAATCCTTAGTATCAGAAAAAGAAAACTAAAAAGAAACCTTCAACCATAAATGTGAATTAAATAAAATACAGATCTGGGCTTTATTTACCAGGGGAAGTTTTTTTGTTTACTTAAATGAAAAAATTTAAGAAGAAATTCAATGACTAAATAAACATGTTAAACAAAGTTAACTGTTGAATAACCATGAAAAGCAGAAAAAGCAAGAATGATGTATTTGCTGAATCATCAGTTGCACAGGCTACTGAAAGTGTGATTGAAGCATCTGTAGGGGCTACAGTTAGAACGCAGTAAGGTCAGTAAGTTCAAGGGGAAATCTGGGCTTCCCACAAAACAACTTGTAAGAGGAGACCACAGGGATGGATGCCTTTGAGTTCAATCTAAATTCTGATTTTAGCTTGTCATAGTTCCTCCAATATGGAGTATATAAAATGAAGCAAATGTAAG